CATTTTTTATAATTTATATAACATTAAGGGTAATTTAGTCTTTTCAGCCTTGGAAGGCTATTGTGGTGAATGGTAAAAAAAATTTGGGTAAAGTGAAAAATGGTATCTCTAACTTGGGCAAACTGAAAAGTACCCCCGAACAAGCATTGTAGAACCTACCTCCACTGCAGCCTCGACCGCTGCCTCCAGGTTTAGTAGAGGTAGAAATATCAGGGGACGAAACAAGAGAGAGAAGAAGATACAAAGCAAGACAGAAATCATCGGGTAGATGGATAGCAGAAATAAAGGAACCACACACACATATGAGAGTTTGGGTCGGAACATTTGACACTGCTGAGGCCGTCGCAGCCAGGTTTAGAGGTAACATAGCAAAACTTAATGTTCCCCAGAAAATATCATAAACTTGCTGCCGGCCCTCTGCCCTGACGGTCCATCTCCACCAACAATAATTAATTTTTAAGTGTGTATAATGTATAAATAGCAGCAAGAAGTGATCTACAACAGTAATTTTGGACAATTTTTTTTTCCAGAGCGAGAGAAGAGAAGAAATTTTGCAGAACCTACCGTCGCAGCCAGATGCCGCAGAGCAAAAACTCCACAAATAGAAATGTGTGACGAAGAAAAAAAAAGATAGAAGAAAAAGATACATAGGAGTGAGACAGACGCCATTGGGCAGATGGTCTGCAAATATAAAGGATTCACATAGAACTACCGCCAATGTTTGGTTGGGTACATTTAACACTGCCGAGGCCGCAGCTAGGGCATACGATGAGGCCGCCTTGAGGTTTAGAGGCAACAAAGCCAAACTTAATTTCCCTGACAATGCCATTAATTTGACGCCTCCCAGGCTTCTCAATCTACCCAGTTGCCCATTTCTTCTCCTCCATCACCACCAACCGCTGCCAGGTTTAGAGGTAACTCAACAAAACTCAATTTTCCCCTGAAAATATCATAAAGTTGCCGTGGACCCAGGTTCTGCAATTTCCCCAATATCAGATGGCTTATATTATGTCTTTCTCATTTTATCATGGGGTAACATTTTGGTTGCACACTGGTTCTTCATTGATGATGAATTGCATGAGGTCAATTACAGACTCGAGCTGTAAGCGAAATACACTTCCAACTTGTACAAAATCGGTCTCGGTCAATCCAAACGAACACCAACCAAATGAGGCTCGACCCACAACCAATACTTCATTTCGGTTGCCACCCACAAAGGATAAAATATGGAGGTAACAATATCACAAAGGAAGGAAGAAAAAGAGAGCAATGGTTGAACTTAAACACCAAGTATCAACCAAGACGGCTACCTCTCTTTTCTTCTCTCTATTGCAAACCGAAAAACACAAAGAAAACGGCACAATTTAGGCCAACATACATGGGCCATCCTCAAGTGAATTCGACCCTGAGCAACCTTAATTAACTAACTTGCTTCTATGGTGTCGATATAATTAGGGAAATATTCATAAATAAGGTGTATACTTTACACCAATTCAAAAATCAGGTTTATAGTTTGAAAATTCAAAAATTAGGTTATTTATTTATTTTTTATTTATGAAATAATAAATTATTAAATCAATTTATTATTAAATATTTAATTCTAATATAATATAATTAATTCATCCCACATGCACCACCCATACCGCTCCAGTGACTATTCCGACCACTACTCCGATTCTGACAATTATTCCGGCGACTATTCCGGTGACCATTCTAGTCACAGATTTACAATTTACGGTCATGGTTCAAAAATTTTATAAGTCACAATTAATTCGTTGGTCACAGATTTCAAAATTATTTGGTCACAAATCAAAATTTATAGGTCACACAGTCACAGATTTTCAAATTAATTGATCACAAATTATATAATTTTTAGGTCACAGATAAAAAATGGTTAATTTCATAGGTCACATTTTCAAATTTGTTGGTCACAGATTATTTTTCAGTCACATATTGTCAAATTTTTAGGTCACAGTTAAATACTTGGTCACATACCATTGACACTACCACTTCGGCCACTTTTGACCACCCTCACCCCACGGCCACCAACATCACCGTCGTCAACCAGCACCGCAAACATCACCACCACCTCAACACCGTAGCCAACATCCCAACCACCACCATCCAACTACAAACAATGTCACAACTTGCAAACCACTACCAATTACCCTAAAAAACTCCAGATTTTCACCACCAGCACAACACCACCACCACCTTACCGCCAACGCCCAAAACATCCTACAACAGATCTGAGGGGAGAAACACACGTCACCGTCGCTGCAACGACAATTGTCGCTCTCAAAGCAGTGCAGAGTCATCCCAAACATATCGGATGGAAAAACCACTACATCCACATCGCCACCGTCCCCCAAAACAACATCCATATTGCTATCGCTACAACTAGTCACCACACCATCGAGTCACAGTCCACCCCGCTGCAACACAATCGACACCTATAAAAAAAAAAAAAACAAAATACAACCATCGCCTCATACACAAAACACCCACTCAGCATCACCAAATATCAAATCCCGATTCCGACCACTCTACCATACCAATCGACAGCCGTACTCAACCAACAACCCCAAACTCGCCGCCCGACAGTGACCCAGAAATTTCACTAGCTGTATCTAATCGACAATCCATGAAATTGACTCAACTCACCGGCGGTACCTAACTCACCAGGTCTTTGCAGTACCCAAAGGAGATGAACAGTAC